TGGAACCCTAAATGATCTCACACGCCTTGTCCTGGTGAATGCCATCTATTTCAAGGGGAACTGGGAATCTAAATTTCGTGCCCACAATACTACACAGGAAACATTCAAGGTTTTCGATGAGAGAAAGAAGGTTCGGGTGAGTCTTATGAGTCAAGAGGGCTCATTCGCTTTGGCTGTTGACAACATGAATGACTGTCTTGTGCTAGAGCTGCCTTATCAAGGCCACAATCTTGGTCTATTGATTGCTCTTCCCGTCAAAGATGATGGCCTTGGTCAACTTGAGACGAAGCTCTCTGCGGACGTCCTGCAATCCTGGGACGCAGGGCTCAAATCAAGAGAAGTGAAGGTACTATTACCAAAGTTCAAACTATAGAAGCAACATTCCAACTGAAGGAGGTTTTGAAACGAATGGGAATGCCTGACGCTTTTGATGAGGATAGGGCTAACTTCGAAGGCATCTTAGGTGATAGAGAGTTACACATCTCTGCCGTCATCCACAAGGCCTTTGTTGATGTCAATGAGGAAGGGAGTGAGGCAGCTGCTGCAACGGCTGTTGTGATGGCATTTGGTTGTTCTCTACCAAGAGAACGTGAGAAGCCGATCCTGTTTCGAGCAGACCACCCATTTCTCTTCATGATTCGTCACCGGTCGACGAAATCGGTCCTTTTCATGGGACGAATGATGGATCCCTCCTAGATTTTGACCGCCATGTCCACGCTTTGAAAATAATCAAATTTGTCTGTTTTGGCAGTTTAATCGAATAAACAAAATCAAAGACTTTTCGTTCATTACGACGTCACTTTTCTGAGCCACGCAAATAGCCTAGTGTTGAATAATTACTTCATATATTCTATATTGTGCATACAATCAACAGATGTTTTGGGGATGAACTAAATAAGCTTGTTACCAGTATCTATTACTTTTGAGAGATAAACTGTTTATTAATCAGGCCATGACGTTATAATATAAATGTTTCTTACATTTTGATACCCATTGTCTCTTTTTCTTCAGACGAGAATCATGTAATCGCTGATGGGTAAAGATCACTGCTATTGTAGCTGATTACCACAGGCTGGTTATACTGGTTTTAATTATTGCTATACAACACACTAAAACATAGAACCCAAAATTTGAAATTATTCAACAGTATTAACAAGGGCAAATGCATAGGATTAATTTAATATTGAAAACAAATATAAACAACAATGTATTAAAATGCAACAACTATGGGGTTACATAACAAGCGCATAGCGAATTTTATTCTTGGCATATGTTATCGTGTGTAAAAAGATTACTAATATACGGTACTCACTTTCTTCCACATTAGCCAGCCTATGGAATTTTAAAGTTATATTATTGCCTGAAAATCCCACGTACATATTAAGTAGCTTAGTTGAATTTGATACTTGATTGCTCATTATACAGAATATATTATGTGTGTAAATAAATAAACGGTATAGTGGTAAGCTGTAAAATTGGGAATATATGGGGCAAGTAGAACTGCATATAGATAATACAGTTATTATGCTGCAGTGTTCAATGTAATAAGAGCTGATATTAATTGACAATTTCTCCAAGTGTAATTCATCGATGCCGCAGGCTCATTTTTTGTGTGTTTCACACGGCAGACAATACAGGAGTGACAAATATTGCCACAGTATTTGTATTTTCAATAATATGAGAGGATAGGCCTACATTGCAGTTTTAGTATACCTGGTAATTTTTCATTCTACGTGTATAGTTAATACAACTATATAGCGAAATGCACTAGCATGCACGAGCATATGGCCTGCAAAAAAAATGTTGTACTGCCGTTTAGGTGCCAAAACATGGGTCGGTCGGTCGGAAAACTTTTTGTTAATACTTTTATTTCCTTTTCCCACTTTGGGCAGATATTTTTCAGTTTTGAATGCTTTAAAACATATTTTTTTATTCATTAAACATTTGTTTCTCTAACAACGGTTAACAAAAATGTTTCTTATAAAATGTACACATGTGCTTTGTCGTTCTTTCGGATGTCGGCTTCGTAAACATAAACGTAAACGTACTCCACCCGTTATCTAATGCCCATATAATCTACACTAACCAACATTAAAAAAATATCGCTCTCGATGGGACCTACATAATACAAGCTTTGCTTTTTAGTAGATCCCCCACTTTATTGATTGATTCATATGATTGTATTATCTGTTATCACTATTATCATGTACCTTATGTTTTCTATATTGTATGTTTAGTTATAATAATTGCCATTGTTTATTATGTTCAATTATATTATCTTTGATAAAGTGAAATATATAAACTTGAAACTGAAACATTATGTAGGCGTATACCGCAAAATACATATATATTTTTATCTACAAAACGGACATTTCGTATACATATTGTAGATCAGCACTTAGAAGAAAAACAGAAATAACAAATATTTAAAAATAATTATATATCATGCGAAAAATTACTGATTAATCTCTTGCTATAGCCTATTGAAAATATTTTTTAGTTTTTGATGGTTAGGGGGGGGGGGGGGGGGGGGGGGGGAGTGAGAAAAATCTTACAAATTCAAATTCAAATTCAAACTTTATTGATTTCAATCCAAACAGATTAGACAGTAATGTTGTGTCATTAAACTTTTGATAGAAAGGAACATATGTGGATGAAAATGTGTTGTTATGGTGCAATTTCAGTAGGAACCTAGCTGACGTGACGATGGTACGCTGAGAGAGGAAAAGAAAATATAACACGTACGACAGATGTGACAAAAAGATGATGCCATAATTAAGAGAAAGGAATGACGAATATTTCATGGAAAGATATGTTGGTGACAGAAAGCAGTAGTGAAGAGGAAACTCGAGACAAGAAGAAGTGGAGGGAGGAAGTGTCATTATGAGGCGAAAGTCAGTATAACTCCTCATTCGAGGGGAAATGCTGACTTGAAATAATGAAAACGATGGGAGTACACAAACTACAAAATAAATCCAACAAATGGGGATGTTACTTTTATTATACATGTACATTAAAGGCCCACTGCACTACTGGTAGCTACTTGCGCCCTCTATATAACAAACAATGCCTAATCGGTGACCATTAGTCCCCCATGATCCTCTTTTTCTTATGTTAACTGAGAGCTGAGTTGATGAGATAACCACCTGTCCAGTGACCTTGCAGAGCGGTCTAATCCCTCCTGTAAACTACGGCAGATAAGCTTTAAAGTAAATAATCGAAACGTGAAACATTAAAAGCGAATCGTGCGAGAAAATAAGCCTATGAGGCTATGACATACATATGAACATGTAATATAGAAAATGTATATTTATGAGTATTTTACATTTATATTTACGTTCTATGATAATAAAATATTGAATATGCATAGTAATAAACAAATATTGATCAGACCTCTTGCATGATGCCGTGTCTATGGGAGGATAGATATTAATAATGATATTCACTGTTATATAGCGTTTAATACAATGTCTCTAATCGCTTTACAAATATACTACACTATCGTTCATATAGTTGGAAGATTTTTGTTTTACCCCAATTTATGGAATTATTTTTAAAATAAAAACAAAAATAAAAGATCTAGATAATAGTATACATTCTCAGATTTTATTGAATAATGATTTGCCAATGTGTGTTTTCGCGACTGCTAAAGCATGTGTATGCTCCTATGCTTATCAACTAGGGTACCTACGCCCTTAAGTCATAAATGACAGTAATGAGGATTAATGCCCCACAAAAGGGCACTAATATAGCACATCGACACGGTTTTGATCCTGGGGCCTAACAGTTACGAGGCCATTGCTTTTTCACTGAACCATGACTGTACGCAGCGGGGGCTAGGGTATAGGGGGCAGTTTCCATAAATAAAATGAAAACATGAAAAATGCAATAAATTTTCAATAATTTATTGCATTTTACGCCGGTCCCCAACATAAACCAATCCTCTGTGTGCCCATGCCCGAGCCATAATGCATGGTCGTCCAAAGGATTTTTTATGTTGGGGACCGGGGTATTTATTGCATATTCCGTGTTTTTTTAAAAGAATATCAGTGCTTTGCTGGGATTCGAACCCTCGACCTTCGCATCTCCAGTCAAGCGTCTTAAACCATTCGGGCACGACACTCCCACGATATCAAGATAGATCAACAGCATCAAGGAGAAGACAAATCACATAGTTTTAGAAAGCCCGATAAGGAAACAGTTAATACACAGGAGAAATTATTAATACGGTTGAAATGAGAATAAGGGGGGAGGGGGTAGTATGCTATTTAGGTTATTGGAAAGTCTAGTGCCTTTAAGATACTATGTCCCATTTGCAGGCCAAAAAATATGAAAAGGTTAAATTCCATATGCATTTGAAGGATAACACTAATTTAGAACTTCCCTAAAAGAAAAAAAAAAAAAGGGGGGGGGGGTTCAAAAAGTCTTTAAGTGGGAAAATAACGTCTATTAGTTGTCGAATCGACTTAAGAACTATATAGCCAGTAAGTAATAGTCTGATTTTCAGACCATTGTACCGAATGGTCGTATGTTTTATGCTGCGCAAAGATACAATCAGTTAAATTTTGGCCGTTACAAGAAGTGGGTTATTGATGTAGACTAACGGTCATGTACCCTTTAAAGCTCATTTTATGGATGTTATTACCAAAAAAGAAAAAATAGCCAGTCAGTCACTCAATAGTGTCTAACAGTGAAGTCTAGCAAGTAAACGGGTTTCCTTGCATAATTTGAATATTAGGACATTGCTAACGTTTAAATTTCACAGATAGGACATGCATGACATATTCATGATTCCTGCAAATATCTACAGAATTTCATGATGGCTGCAAAAGGGACATAGTATCTTATAATACATGTCTGCGTCTTTAACAAATCGTGACCTTCCAGGACATGCAATATTGCTTATGTGCTTCTTTGGTAAGAGATTCGTCATAGAAACATCTACATGATATATATATATATATATATATATATATATATATATATATATATAAATCTTCTTGATCTATGTTTAAACGTAATAAACTTAAGATAAACTCTATGACCATAATAATATTTATGTCCATAATAGTACTGCTAGAAGGAAGCTGATGAAACACAAAGCTACAAGCCTCATCGGGATTATCCTGGTCCTCTGGAGTTCTTTCTGTGCTCTCGGGCGAACCGTTTTTAATGTTATCCCATGTACCATATCAGCACCACTTTGCAGTATCCTCTGACGGGCATCGGGTCTAGAATGTGAACCCATCAACCTGTACCACGTAGGATAGACTGGACCAAAATAAAAGTGGTACGCCAGTTTAGGGTCCGACAACAACAGGCTCCAGAAACTTGGTAGAGCCCCGATTGCTTGAGCAAGCTCATCGTTGTATTTCGTCGGATGGATCTGGACAAGTAAAAGACGAAACGTTAGTGCAGCCGGATATTATGGGTGGACAATTAAAGCTGATCGGGGAATATGGCTATATTTAAGTAGTTACACATTACTGCTAATACTATCAATAGTACGTGACTGAACAATCGTTTAATTCAACGTTATTGAAAGACGCATTAGAACTACTATTACATTTTTGACGATTAGTGTACCACGCATCTGGAATGCTAGAGCTGTTAGTCTTGCACAATAATTAAAGTCGAAACCAAGGAACAATAAAGAAAGCTAAAGAGGCACAGCGCGCGCAATGGGATGCGACTATTGGCTGCCGCAGACAAACTGAATGCTGCTAGCCGTTTCTTCATTTTTTTTCAGAAAAAAAAATCTTCTAGACCAAACGTCTACGCACTAAAGTGGTGCATGACTCGTTCGGCATAAGTAAATCTATCTGACAAGATAGAATTAATTTCTCATGACCCAACATTATATTGATCTCTTAAAACGGGTCTCCACTACTGAAATCGCCGCCCTTTCTCAGTGAATGGCGCACAGCGCCATCTCTCGGTGAGGTGCCCATCAATGAGATTTTCGGGGAGCTTCCGTTTCCGCAGTAGGCGTGCTCCACGCACTGACCTGGTAGAGCTCACACAACGTCCACGTGACGTGTGCAAAAAATGGTGATAAGTGGCGCGCCGTGCATTGCGGGTGGAGGTCGGTTTTGGCGCGCCAGCGTGCAGCCAGTGCAGCTACCTAGCCTAACATGATTTTATCTGCCTAGCACTAGACTCTAGTCCTACTCTCCAGCTCTCTGATCTCGATCTCTGTCTGTTAGTTTCCATCTCTCTTCACTTATACCGAGCCGAATAACCCAATCCTTAACTAAGGCACAGGGCTCATTCAAGCCTGAAAACTTAATCCATATTTACGACGAAATACAAAGTCCAGAGGAAATATCTAGTACCCCGATCAGGAGCAAATGTCAGATCTGGACTTGGACACCTACCTTGGGCGTGTCTTGATTGTATTGCTGCATCACTCCATCTCTTCTTTTCTTGATATCCGCAAGCATCTCTGAACGACTTGGTAGTTGAAGTTCTTTCTTGAACACCTTCACTGCATACCGACTTTGTAGTTCTGCTGATGGTCCTAAGGTACCACGTGTCACGATGTAACCAATGGCCGCCATTGTTGGGTGCTCCAGTCTTGGTGGTATGACGTGTAAGTACAGTTCCAATTGACTGGTACTACCTGCAGGAGTCATACAATAAAATTACCGTCATGGGAATGTGGCTTAGCATATCATTGAATCTCCAGAAACCAATTAGTAGTATAGACCATGGTTTAATAACTCGTCGTGTGTAGCCATTGTGTTGCTTGATGCTTATTATGGTATGAACATCTTTTTAATTTTCGAATTAAGTTTGAGTAGTGGAATGAAGGATGCCCGTGTGAAACGGGTAGTGCACTTGTCTCATCACATTCAACAGTCATTCTACAATAACCATCCTTTTCATCATTCTCACATGTCATGATTTTGTGCTTGCGAAGATTATCTGCAAACCGTATCAAACTTTTACATTTATTTCAACATGACATTAATTTTCTTCCATTTCTTTTTTCTCTATCAACAGAAAAGTTAGGTGGGACAATTCCTTAGTATGATTTTCCATGTTAAATTACTATTTATAAAAACACAAAGAAACCTTCTATACTCCACATTTTGGAGAGTTGCAGAATATCATGCACACGTACAGACTTTGTAGCAGCAAACCACTTGAGGAATTCAATAGATCAGTGTTTATAAACAATACATATTTCATATGAGGTACCCTTTAATTCTTGGGATGGGTGGGAATAGAAGTGATTGTATTTGAAAAATATCTGGCTTTGACTGCTTGAACAATATTTATGAGAAAGTTCAGGCAACACCACTTCTTTAACAGTGTTTGAAGGGGACTTTGGCTCATAATTTCACGTATTTATAAATGTGTTTCGAAAAGCAACTTGGGGATATCATGAAGTTGCCTCCAAATCTAATTTCGAGGAAAGTATCGATCAGATGTCATTTTTTTGTATTGGTTAGCTTGATGTCCCAACCACTGTGGATAGACATCTCGTGATGCACTTGTGCGTTTTTTGTTGCTGTTTTGTTGTGGTTGGTTTTGTTTGTTTGTTCGTTTGTATTTTCTTTCTTCCTGAAATGCTTCAAACTCACCTGATATGACGTCATCTTCCATGTATATTCTGTGATTGTACCCTGTGGCGAAGACAACACAATCCACGTCCTCCAGGTAAGAATCATCATCAAAGATGACCCTTGAACCTTCAAACCGTTGAAGACCACTCCGGACGACCACTCGGCCGCTCATAATCTTCACCGGGAGTTCATCATTCATCATGAAGCTACTTTTAACCGGATGCGTGCTGCTCTGAATGCCAAGTGTTTTCCAGTCCTGCAGGGACTCCATTTTGAGTTTGAGTAAAGGATGGTAGATCCAGGCTGGAATCGCCTCATTCCACCTTCGGTTGATGTAGACGTCAGTGGGCTGCTTCCCCGTGATGCGAGACACGATCCAAGCCCCATCCCGTAGACTCAAATACACCTAGAATAATACATTAGAACATGAAATACATTAGAATCATGAAGAACAAAAAAATAACTGCTTTGTACATTGTATACACTTTAATTAATGAAGATAATGATGTGTGAGTGAAGGGGATTTCATATCGTGTGAATTTTGAAAAGAGAAGTGCCACATACATGTAGCTTTAAATCCTTAGATTCCGTCATAATATCTCACACCGTCATTCGAACCATTTTAGATTGTATATTGTATGGGTTTATTAGGAAATCGCCTGGAGATAAAAAGGTCGAGTGTTCGAGCCTCGGTGCGGCAATAGTGTCTATTGGCAAGGCATTAAAGCAATTTTGACACTGGGTACCAAGAGGAAAACGAAGGAATTCCTCCAATGCTGTGAGTACCACGAAATCAGTAGCTTCGGGGTAATATCGGTGAGCCTTGAGTTACTTGCGTTATTGATGTGAGGGCTATAAAATCTATCAAAAATTAACTCTTTCCCAATTGATAAAATGGTAATAATATCTTACTGCGTAACATAGCATTTCACATGAAATAGTTTTTTCCAAAGGATTCGAGATTATTTAAGTGTTTCCAGTGAAAAGTTAATCTATACAGGTGGGTTTCATGCAGCTGTCCAAGACCGGAAATGCAAACATCTGACAATAATTGATTGCTATCTTTTGTTCAAATCAGCACGCGTGGCATACGAGCGACTTTGTCCTTTGCACATGAATGTGTCAAATGAAAGGTTGAATTAATTTTGGCGGTTGAGACCAATACTACTGGTGGTAAAATCCTGTTGTCTGGTAAAGTACAATTCGAAAATGAAATGGCATGAATATGTTCCTGGTTTTCAATCTTAATCGCATGATAATACATAAAAGACAATTTTACAATGAACTTTGAACCTATATAACTCCATAAATGGATGATGAAGTCCATCATATCAATACCTTCTTAGCGTGATTACTACTCAGTACCGCAACATCCCCTGCAGAATGGGAAGAGCCTGTATTATAACGACACAACAAAACAACATTAGCATGACAAAATTCAAGACAAGTCAACGTATTGCTGCATAAAATCCTGTTTATCCAGACTCTAGGGGATAGGAAGGTTCCACAATGATTTATCTTATGTTTTAAAACAGAAATCATATTCGTTTGCTTGGATCTCCCGCATGATATCCAGCCTTGCCCTCTTAATAACTTCTAGGTCCCCCTTATAACAATGGCTGTACCTTAGAAATTTCAACCACCGGTAGGAATACATTTATCAATGTTCATTATTGACAAAGAGGAGCGGATTGGCGCAAAAATTGCCACTGTGGGATCGCAAAGGGACTGGTCCTCCCAAGCAATAATTTAAAGTCAGAGTGTTCGATTTCCTGCTATGGCACTGACGTCCTTTAGGAAGAAGTCACCGAAGAGAAATATAATCAAAACATCTTCCCGAAATTAATACAAATCCATCGGAGTAGAAACTTTTTGATAAGTAAATACGGAAGCAACGTTTAGTATTTTCATTATTATAATTATTATTGATAGCATGATAATAAAAAAGTCATCATAATTATTATTGTTATCATTATCTTTCATTGATGTCGCTGTTACTTTTATTAAGATAATGATTATGATGATTACTATCATCATCATTAATTTTCAATTTTATCTTCATTATCGTCATTATTATTTGGCCTATCTTTAATACGTTTATACTTCATTTTCCATGAATTTATCATGATCATGAATGAAAATCCACGTACCAACGACCACAATCGTCTTATCCACAAATTCTTCCCCGCCTCTGAACTGACCGCTGTGCAGGATTTGACCTTTGAACTCATTTAACCCAGGATAGTCTGGAATTTTGCCGGATGAATATATTCCGGAACACATCATGACGGCATCGAAGGTCTTTGATAAAAGAGAAACATCTAGTTAGGTGGGTCACGAAGTAAGTTTTTAAAATTCTAATCATGTATGAAACGAAAATCGTTTGTGAAATATAGTTAAACTCAACAAACGAAGTGCGGCCTCTCTATAGAGAGGTTCTACAACACGCTTTTTTATCATGGGAGACAAAATATATAGCCACTTTATACAGCTGGCGTTTATAGAAAGGTGGCCACTAAAGACAACTTTGACTGAATTTGTATTATCTAGAAGTTTCTAGAAGTTGAAAAATAACTTTATTGGATATGAATCCTGTGACCTTCATTATAATATTACGTAGCCTATACAGTTAAAAACAAAATTATTCATTCCCCTTGTAAATTTGATGTTTTTTTTCGTTACTCAAGAATGAAAGGTGGACTGGTTGAATTAGAACCTTTGTTAAATACTGTTAGATGTTAGCTTTAATATATAAAATTCTAAAAAACACAAAAACAATTGGGACAAATTAATTTTTCACAAGCTTAAGCCCATCTGCACTAGTGAACAGGAGGGATTAGACCACCCTACAAGGTCACTGGGCAGGTGGCTATCCCATCAACTCAGCTCTCACGAAAAAGAGGATCATGGGGGACCAATGGTCACCGATTATGCATTGTTTGTTATTTAGAGGGTGCAAGTAGCTATAAGTAGAGAGTAGGGATTTAAATAATTACAAAACCTGGTAAGGGTATGAATAATTTAGTTGTGAACTGTATGTGTTGCCATAGTAGCCTTTGTTTGTAACATATCGTATCAAGATGACTGCATTTACATAATGATGATTATAATGCGACAGGAAATGAGAAAATACTGGTTGGGTTGCCTAATTGATTTAAAATAAAAATCCCCAATGCTCTAGCGCCTTCCATTCCGGAAGTGGATATTAGGAAACGCTGGAATAGTTTAAATTTAGATCTAGTTAATGCACTCAGTGTCTACAGAAACGAAAGCGGTCTGGACAAGTATTTGGAACTGAATATAATCATAGAGGCTTAAAGGGATTGGGTATTTTTGTCTCAGATTTTAAACGAAATCCTGGATTTAGCACATGCTGCAATCATAATTATAAACCTTTAGGTCAGTCAGGAATCCCATGACGTTTACAAGCAGATTGACCGTAATTATCAAGATATTTATGATTTGGAATTCGAAATTTCAAAAAGCATTTTCCCTACGTTTTTGTATAACACTACAGTCTATTAGGGAAAATGAGCATGGTAAAACTCAAAGATTTTAAATCTTTTGAGGCACTTCATGATCATTTTGAAGTGCAACTTTTTAGGATTTCAATATTACACCATATCAAAGACGCTGATGACACGTAGGGCCATGCATCTCAGATTTGGCATTGTTAAACAATGCCTTTAAGCCTGCGTTCCCATAAGTATCATAAGTAAGTGAGTGGTAAGTATAATTATAGAAGCTCACTTCTGTCTTGGGTGTTCGCCTTGGGCCTGGGTGCACACATTCCATTTCCCTGTCTCTTTAAAATCCACTGCTTTTGTCACTTCTATGACCGTCGTATTGAAGTGGATATGCTTCAACAGATTGAAGTTCTCTGCGTAGTTTTGTAAATATTGCAGGACATCGTCACTCTGTGATGGAATATAGGAAAAATGTGAATAAAACATTGCGCAATATTTCGACCAGCAATAACTTTGATAGTTTTCCATAAATTACGGCAGACAAATGTGATGTTTTTAATATTACCTTATTTGTAGAAATACAAATGCAAAGGAAATACAAAACAAGTGCATATTACTTTTTTTAAAGAATAAAATGCAGCCCTAAATGAAACCCTATGCGCAGCCTATGTTGTTTGGAGCCGGTAACCTGGACGACGAGCGAATATGACATAATCACTTTGGTACTCTATATACTCTATATCAGCATGATCACCACTCGGCCTACACCCATACAGTACCCAAATGATTTTACAAATACAGGAAATTAAAAGACCTAGGCTATTATACCTAAAATTCTGTACTCGTGTTTTCTCTTGAATATGAATCACGAAAAATAGAAGTAGTTACTCCTAAAATCTACCTTTAGTCTTCAGTATTGTATTATTTAATTTTACTACTTCCATATATTTGTATCTGTATCTCATTAATTGTAGAAAACAAAAAAGAAAGAAAATAATCACAACTCAGTTTTTCTATCTGCGGAGATGTTTTATATGAATAAACCATGTCAAATTAAATCAAATAATAAAATAAACCTCTAAACAACCGTATACAATTAAAATGCCGACTTTTACAAAGTAAGATTTTTTTTTACCACGCATCACAAATTCTCATTAAATATATTACTCTTACCGTTAGAAATGGTGGGACATGTCTTGGGTATGAGAAGTCACTGAAAGACATCATCTCCTTCGATACGTTGGTGAATGAGTCCTTTATAGATACCGGCAGGTCCCGTCGGATCGGGTCCTACTTCGTCATTGTACACCCATAGTCCACCTATTGTACCCAAAGAGAGAGAGAGAGAGAGAGACAGAGAGAGAGACAGAGAGAGAGAGAGAGAGAGAGAGGGGAGGGGCACACACAGACAGAGAAACGTATATATTATATTCTCAATATCATCATTTGGGAATGGATCAGAGTATGTTGAAATGTCGGTCAATTCGTCATCATTATGATCCACCGACTTCGTTTATTGTTAATAATATACCGCCCTCGAATTGAATCTGGCCTGTCTACGTAATCTAAGTCAGGGACCCAGGGTCGATTTTCGGTGGATATATTTTTCAACAAACTTATAAAATCATCACGGAGGGCAGAAATAATAAAGATGCACGCACCATTATTCTGTATTTTAAATTTTCACTTTAACATAAAGGCATATAGACCAAAACGTTGGTCTATATTATTATATTCGATACTATAATTTTAACTAAACCTACATGTCCCCTGTGCTCGAAAATAAACAGTGATTTGACCCTGACCTACACACGAAGTGCACGTAAGTCACAAATCCCTCATTTGTATTGGTTATCTAGATGGCACTTCAAATAAGGATTCTCTTGGAGCACATGGGTCGTCTTAATTTCACCCCTCCCCGCCCTTCCACCTTCGCCCTTCGCTCTCGACTGTGAGAGCTGGATATAATGCGTTTTGTGTATGATACGCTCTTTAGATGGTTGGTCTTTAGTTATACTGTACTATGCTTTTAAACTATTTAAAACCATTTTATGCGTGTCTAACTACAGCTTACAGACATAGGACGTAAATACAATCAAAACCATTTTGCAAGTTAAATACCTGACATAAGCCTACGAAGTGTTTAGTCCTTTTCAAATAAAAGGGTTATAGCCCTTCATCGAGACATCTTTTCTTCGTATCAGGACGATCACCATCTCGAGGACAACCGCCCCCTGGAAAATTACCCCCTAGCACAATTACCCCCCCCCCCCAAGGACAATAACGCCCAAGACAATTGCCAAAAGACAAGATATCATGTGCGACTCCCCCTACACGCACTCCAAACACACACACGCACCAACACGGGGGTTGATAATAGATTGTATTTTTGGATGGTAATTGATATATGGGGTAATTTTCCAGGGGGGGGGGGGGTTATTGTCCTGCTGGTAATTGGATGGGGGGGGGGGGGGGGGGTGATTGTCCCTGTTCGTTTCGGATGCGTAATACAAGCGTACGTACAAGACCTTTTCCAGTAGAGACGAAGACAAGTATGAAGTCAAAGAGTTAATATTGCTCATTGATAATTAGGTTCACATCGATCCACAATCTAGCTACGTGTATATGTATAATGAATTCTACAAGCATTCATGCATAGTCCAAAAATAAATTAAACTTTACCTAGTTCTCTTGCCTTATCAAAGCATACTGGCTGTAGTCCTTCCTCCAGACAGGTTTTGATCGCAGCAAGACCGGAGACCCCAGCTCCTAGCACAGCTACCCTCGTTATGTCCATGGTTTCTGTGGCGTCTGTAACACACACTTTCACATTGAAACATGTAACAATGATACCGGTACTCTTCTTATTCTCGCTGTGCTTATTTCCTTATGATCCTTTTCCTGTGTGTATTCTCGCAGTGTACGTATAGTACTTTGTACTATATGCCTGTATTCTCGCAATATAACACGTACCAGTGTGATTATATACGTGTATTCCTGCAGTATAAGTACTGATGATCATATTACTTGATTGGTTCACGTCATAACCTTGGCAGCCTTTAGGATCACAAGATTAAAAGGCTAAGTGCCATTGGAACAAACGTTTCAAAGTGAAACTGAAAGTTTTGTCACGTAGTCGACGTATAGGGTACCTAATCTACGTTGTACAAATCGTTCAGATACGACTTGAACTTTGTGTATTCGGTTTGTTTGAGCTCGATATAGGCCCTATGTGGTCCACCGAGGTTGCATATTGTTCAGAATTACTGGTGCTTGCCATGAATTCTTGCTCGATTTCTATACACTTTTTTTGGACAAAATATAGAGATTTTGAGGTCCCTTAAAAGAAACTCTCTGGAATAGATTGCAAATGCGTTTGGGAGCTACATGCATTTGTAGCCAGTTGGGAGCTACCTCGGGTCGGATGGGCAACATTGCTAGCAGCTAGCGCTCAATCCCGCTTCCTCGCAGAAGTCGTTTTCGCCCTCTATATCAACACAATTCAACAAAAGAGGCTGAGCCCAAAGAAGAAGAAGGAGTTTGAAAGTCATGTCGGGCATTTATGGATTAGAGTCTTGCCAAAAGACGTTAGTGCAGGACTGAGATTGGAACCTTCAACCCTAGGATTAAAAGTCAAGGGAATGAACTACTATACACCACAACACCGCAACCGTTTTGCATGGGGAATATGAAAATTCAATAGTCAACGGGTAAAAGAAATACGGATAGTTTCAGACAAGAGAGATTATATTTTAACCCTAAAAAGGCCGGGCTATTTAAGGTCTTAGTACGACGAAGCGGCCGATCGCCGTGAAAATTTGCACGCATGTCAAGTGAAGTGTATAGAATATTATGATTATTTCAATTTTTTGAAAAATTCACTCATTTGCATATTTATGGTAATTTATGCAAATAAAGTCATACAAATCACAATTTTACC